CAGCGCAGCATGCACTCAGCCAAACGACTTCTAGACGAGGGCTGGAGTCCATCCAGCCCCCAGTGCATGGACATGGCCCGTCTGCCAGCCTGCCAGCCCTCTGGCTGAGCAGGGATGAGCCTCCCTGCCCACCGGCCATGCTGGGACCATCCCTGCCTGCCTCCCCTGAGACCCCGTGGTGTCCAGCCCGCACCCCAGCTCCTATCCTGGCTTCCCTCTGCTCCAAGCAGACCCACCCTGGCCAGTGCCTTATTCATTGTGCAAGCACAAAACAACCCCAACCTCCGAGCTGAGCCCTCGGGAAGCAGCGACGTGTCTTTTCTCCAGGAGAAGATGCTCAGGAACAGCAGCATCTGTCCGCTGCTGGCTCTGGTGGGTTGCACGAACCAAAGCACTGAGCGATAAGCAACCTTCCCCTCTGCTGCAGTGGGTCTCGCAGAGAAAACATGTTTGTAGGCTCTTTGGATTTGTTTTTTGCCCTGAAGTGCTCTGGCCAGACGCCTGGGGAGAAAAAGAGGGAGAGTCAATTTGTCACTGGGCAGGTGCCCAGCAGCCCTGCTGAGCCTCTGGGAGTTGGGCACAGGAGAGAGCCAGTGCCGAGCAGCTTTGGGCTTAACTGCCCAGTTTAAATGGGACTGGCCCAGCGAGCACCCCAGGAATCAGGCATGACCACCAGCCCTCCTCAGGCACGCAGGTGGCCAGCAAGTGCAGAAACCAGCCCATGTCCCATAGCAACAACCAACCTCATCCACCTCGGGTTCATTTCTCCCCACACAGGGAGAGGCAGGATATATTTTGTATCTCCAGCTATAGAGAGATTATTTGATCTGAGCTGCTCCAACAGAGAAAGCACAAAAATGTTTTTCTCGGGTGATACGGGAAATGGCAAATTTGCATCATACCCGAGCCTCAGGGACATCTCCATCGCACCCTTCACTTGGCATCTCCTGCACGTGATGCACCACATCCCACAGGAGCTCCAATCAGCAGCTCTAACCAGCCACAACCCAAAGGGCAATCGAAAAAACTGAGCCTAAGGTTGCCCAATCCCTTGAATCTTATTAATTTATTATTAAACTAACTTAATCTCTAATTTATTGACCCTTAGGTCAAAAGTTTCTGAAACCAGCCCTCGGCAGGATCCAGATAGGACACAAAACCTTCAGCCCGCTGGTAATGCTCAGCTTGGAGAGTAAGTTATTTCCCAGCTCGGGCGGCTTTCCCTCGCTGGGACAAGGGGTGTTTGCGTGCGTATTATTTTTTTCAGCCTTAATTATTTTTTTTTTTCAGCCTTAATTTACAACCAAACAATATTATTTGAGTAGATGAGGACATTTAGGCAATGGAATAAATGTTAATCATCCGCGACCTCCTGTAGGGTTTTGGCTATCGCTAACACATGCTGTTGGCTCATGTCCTGGAAAAGTGAAGGTCAAATGCGTGACCACAGCCCCGGCTCCCGCGGGAGGCACGCGCGGGCTGGGAGGGCGAGGAGAGCCCAGGGATGGGCAAGCACATGCTCCAACCTGCTTTTCCCCTGCCCAGCCTGTCCCCACGCCCGGGGCAGCTTGCGACACCATTGCTTTAGAATTAAAGCCCATGGGGCATTAATTACCCACAGAGCCCGCTCTGCTCGTTAATCTGCAGGAGATACCCCGACCTCTCAAGCTTTACTGCCCAGAGCTCGGGATTGGAATTCCAGCAGGCACTGAAAGGGCTGGACGCGTTGATGCCATAGCTGAGGGATTAGGGGACTTTCCCAACCTTCTGTCCTGCTCCCAGCAGCTCTCTCAGCCATTGGGGAGAATCAAAGCACCGAAAACAAGGACAGTCAGAGAGACGTCCCCTCCACTTGCTGGGAAGTATTTTTAGGCAAAAATACCAGGAAAATTGTTTTGCCCTCAAAGCGGATGGCACAAGGCAGTGATGCTGAGGCTGACTCCTGCTTTTCTAGGGAGAAATAAAGCAAAACCTTGAGTTTTTGACCAACGCAATTGGAAACTAAAGCATCTGCCCTTGGCAGCAGTGAGCTGTAAACTCAGGTTTTGCCACCAGGAGAGGGTGTGCCAGACCCGGTTGGGTTGACCTTAGTGCAGCCGGGCCGGCGGGAGGGATGGATGCTCGGCCAGGGAGCTGGCAAACCCTGCCTGAATCACCCCACGCATCCTCTGCCCGCAGGTACAAGGAGCAGCTCTCGCAGGGGAGACCCGACCTTCGCCTACGCCAGACGCAGTACGTTCCTGCCGGCCAGTGCCGCGGGGTAGCCCTGTCCCTCCCCACGCCCCCGCCAGCCCTCGAGCCCCTCAGCTTCTCCCCCGTCCTCTGCTTTTTCTGCTGTTGAGGTGATACCCAGAGCCATATAATGCCATTTTCCTCCCCCGGCTTCCCTTCCTCCTTTCTCATCATCACCAGCCCTGCAGATTAAAGCAGCCAAACCCAAACAAGCTTAGGATCTCACTGAGACGCCACTTTAATCCATTGCACGTTAAATTTTTGCTTGGGGCAAGTACAGACAGGCATTTATCCATGTGCTGCCTGGGAAGGGACCATGTCCCCAAGCCCACCTCCTGCTGCATCCCCCAAATTGCTAAATAAGATCTATGGCTGCGCCACTTGGGATGCTGAACTGGGGATGCCAACATGCCAACAGATTAAAAATACACCCATCTAAGCCAAGCGCTCACTCCCAAACGCTCCTGTGGCTGCTCTTATTGAAATGGCCTTTTCCAGCCACCTGCTTTTGTAAGCCAGGGGTTTGGTTTTGACCATCACTGTTCAAATAGTCCAGCCATGTGCCTGTCTGCCTTTCTAGGAAATAACCCGACCTGGTTTATTACAAATCGGGTGGAAGAGTAGGTGTGGGAGATGACATGGCACATGTTTCCAAAAGACCTCATTTTTAGAAACTTTAGTCACAAGCGCATCCTCGTAAACATTATTAGAACATTGTTATTTAAAAATAAACCTAAACCACAGACTTGGAGTGGATTCATCCATTCAAAGCAGCTTAAATTAATACCATCTAGTAGCCGGTTAAAGAAATTCCTATAAAAATCTAACCGCATATTAAACTCTCAATAAACGCTCTTTGTATTTCACAAATCAGCTGGCCCCTAACATGCTCAGCCTGCTCGGTAGCATCTTAGGCTTCTGTTTGCACACAGTAAAACTGGTGCTCACAATAGAACACACACTTCGCCTATAGAGAACACATGTTGAAGTATGGTTAAAGACATTCAACATGATCATACCAACAATTTTACCCTCTTTTTTTTTTTTTTTATTTAACCACATTTGAAATGCAGGCGAGCGTTGCCCCTCAGACAGCATTTAAACGACAATGTGTGTTTGATTTCCTTTAAGCCAAATTTATTCAACACTAAGCATGAGCTGCGTGCACTTTGCTCCCCTCGAGTTTATCTTAATCATCTTGAATTCGGTAGCCTGCGGGGAATTAAGTCAGAAGCATTCAGGCGCCTTCTCGTGCTTTATTTCCCAGCTCCCTCAACATGCTTTGAGTTTGTTTAATCCATGTGGTGCGTAATATCCAAATGCATAGTGTGAGATATAGAAGCTGTTATATAGAAGCTGCTAAGAAACTAACTGCCTGTTTTCGGGCAGCTGTACGTGTAACATGCATCTCAGTAACACACCACTGATGTTATTCAAGGTCCACTGGTGCAAGATTCAAAAAGGTTTTTGTCTCCATGGTCGAAATGGAGCGAATGCTCAGGAAAGTGTGGCCAAACCGGTGTGCAGAAGCGTACCAGATCCTGCCTAGCTGAGCGCCTCTGGGGCGTGCACTGTAATGAAGCAACTGAGGAAGGGCGGCTCTGCATTGGACATGTTTGCTCAGGTGCTCCTATAACCTCACTTACGGGCAGGGGACGATGTCCTGATCTCACCACTGCGTGGGCGTTGTACTCCCTTCACTGTCATTTTGCTCTCCCTTGCCAAAATTTCATGATGCCGGTGCCTTCCTAAGCAGGGCTGGAGAGTACTACAGGAGCAGAGCATGGGGAGTTTATAGCCAAATAGCAAGATAAGGGGCGGATCCAGATATGGGGAATCATAGGAACCCATAAAGATCCTGGGAATACAGGAAAAATCTCATTAATCTTGTTATAACAGCAGCTCTCAAGGTGAAGTCAGCGATTGCAGGCAACTGCCTCCATGCAATCAGCCCCAGAAAGAAGAGTTGGGAATATTGAGTTGCCGCAGTCTCTGCTGAAGAGGCTTGTAATTAATTATATTATTCTTATAATCCCCTTTTAAACAAGTCACTCTGAAAGTAGTCCATGTTTTCTCCAGGAAAGTTGTTTCAGATTTTCCCCGATTTCTTCCATTTATTTCCAGCTATTAAAAAAATTGTCAGGTAGCTGCTGTATAGGGATGCTCTGTGATTGTAAAAGGAATGACCTTAGCCCTTGCCTTGGGAAAAGACTGATTATTATTTAGGATTAATCACTATAAGTAATGAAAAAATTTCAGAATCACTGTTTGGGAGACCACTCGTTAAACCCATCAGACAGTGCTCATTTGGCAATTAACCTCTGTCCTGCCCAAGACAGGATACCATCAAATAAAGGGAGACAGCTTTTAAGATAGACCAAAGTCACGATGTTTGGGATGAGTTGGTAACAGAAACCTACAAAGTTTAAGGCATTTGGATTTGTAATTTTGCCAGGGTTGAGCTAAAAGCCCGCATGCCGACCTGGACTCAAGTTTCCCCGAAATTCAGCCCTTTGGGGAAGGTAAACAACAGTTCCTAGATGTAATTATATCCACGTGGCTGCTTTCTACTAATTGTCAGGTTCAAAATGACATTGTCCCCATGTTTCTAATACACAGCTGTTGATAATCAGTAAAAATATGTTTTGGATACAATTTATTCCTTATGCAGTATCTGCCTTATTGCATCTAAATCAAAAGCAGATGTGAGGCCGTGCCGTGAGTGTTACAGGGACTTGGGGCTGCTTTCTGACTCACGTACCTCTCCTCCAGCCTGCAACGTCACCTGCCCCATGGGCCGCATCAACGCCGACTGCGACTCCTGCATGTGCCAGGATGCGACCCTGCACGGGAAGGTCTCTCTCGAGGATGGGTCGCCCGCTGCCGATGCCCGCGTCTACCTGCAAGCCAAGAAACTCAAGCTGTTGACAACAGCCGATAACAGGGGCATGTTTAGGATCCCAGGGGTTTGTCCTGATGGCAAAAACACCCTTAAAATAAAGAAAGCCAAATACGCAACTGCTACTGTCACCGTGCCTGAGAGCAACAGAAGAAACCTGGCGATCCAAGTGCAGCTGCAACGATCAGGTAGCCCCAAAGAGTGGGGGAACGCAGGAGGCTTTATGTAGTAATCAGAAATAAACCGGTATTTTAGGAGGGGAAAAGTAACGAGATGGCCTTTTCCTCCTCCCACAGGCAAACCCTACATTTTCAGGAGCCCCGAGGACAAAGCCAGGAGAGTGGGACAGAGCGTGTCACTCTGCTGCGATGCCCTTGGGAGCCCGGCCCCTGACCGCTATCTCTGGTAAGGAACTCGAGTTTGAATGGGCAGAAGTCTTACCTGTCCCACGGGTTGAATTTTTGTCTCCTTACATTCTCCATAAAGGTGGCTTTTTAGCTATAAACCAGCTAAATACGCCAGGAACTGACCTCTGCAAATGATGGTTTCCTCGAGATGTTCAGAGCTGGCGTTTCTCACAGGTGTGGTAACGTCATCTGCTGAGGGACTGACTGGAAAAACATACAAATATGAGTCTGAAAAACCTCAGCAGGCACAACTGGCAGCTCTGCCTGCCTGCCTGCCAGCCACCCGGCAGCGACATCTCAGTACTGCCAGGGGAAGGGGAATCACTTTTAGGTGGTGCCACGTAGCCAGAATACAAGTGGGGAAACCGAGGCAAGAGGTCTGGAACAATCCACACGGCAGGATGCAGGATTAGGCCATTGCTCTGCTCCAGCCAGTTGGTCAGCCTCTGTCCCCTTAACTGCCTGCCTGTTCCTGGCAGGTACCACAACGGCTCACTGCTGGATCCCTCCTTATACAAATATAAAAACAACCTGGTTCTGAAGAACTTGAACAGAGACCAGTCGGGAGAGTATTTCTGCAAGGCCAGCAGCGCCGGGGGGTCGGCAAAGTCCCAATCTGCCAAGCTTGCTGTAATAGGTAAGAGAAAATGTGCATGATGCTCTCCAAGCAGCTGTGGAGGCGGCGGGGTGCAGAAACCAGAAATTGTGATACATGCGGGAAAGAAAAGTCGCAGGAAAAATATTCAGGGGGTTATTTCATGCATCCGTTAGCACATAAACTTGCGTGAGCTGGTTATGAAGCAGATGCTCTCTACAAACTGCAGCTCTGGATTGCAGGTGACCTGCCAAGCTCAATCTGCTGGTTTCAGCAAATTTCTCGCTGTACTCGCTGCCTGACATGTGACTATTTCTGTGGGTTTGTTTTGGTTTTTAAATCCTGGGACATGTTTTAGTCTGTCCCTAGCAAAAAAAAAAAAACCAAAACAGGCAGCCAGAACATCCAGCTGAGGGCGGGTGGGATGGCAGTGGTGGGTAAGCAGGAGCCAGGTTGCTCCTGCAAACAGCACCGCTCTTAATCAGGTACCTTAAGTTAAAGCTGAGCACCTGCTTCATCGAAACGGGGGCCAGATGAACTCAGCTAACCAAAATCCTGCAAAACATCTGTTCTGTGGCTGCGAAAACCTCACTGTTATTGGGAGCAACTTTTACTCTGAGGGTTTCAGACCACATAGCAATGACTGTATAATTATTTCGTGCCGCTCATTAAGAAATCCTATTCAACAGGACGACAAGAGGCAGCCTGCAACTCCCAACCCCAAAGCCACCTCATCCGACTTCCACATGACTGCTTCCAAAAAGAAACCAACTCCTTCTACTACGATGTGGGCAAATGCCCAGCAAAGACCTGCGCTGGGAAGCTGGATAAAGGGCTTCGGTGTAAGGACAATGTCTCCTACTGCTGCGGGGTGTCCAAGATGGAAACCAGAGACATCTCCTGCAACGGGTACACGCTCCCCACTAAAGTCGTCGTAGAATGTGGCTGCAAAAAATGCACCGAGACCAAAATAACGGTTCGAGGCAGAGCCACAGCAGCGGATAACGGTGAGCCACTGAGGTTTGGCCACATCTACATGGGGAACAAGAGAGTGAGTATGACTGGCTACAAGGGAACCTTCTCCATCCACGTCCCAGCAGACACAGAGAGACTGGTTCTAACTTTCGTTGATCGGCTGCAGAAGTTTGTGAACACAACAAAAGTTCTGCCCTTCAAGGAAAACGGAGGTGCTGTGTTTCACGAGATCAAGCTACTAAGAAAGAAAGCTCCTGTTACACTGGAATCCACTGAAACCAATGTGATTTCTTTGGGAGAAATGGAAGAAGATGATCCAATCGCCGAATTAGAAATTCCTCCAGATGCATTTTATAGGAAAAATGGAGAAGCCTACAGAGGCAAAGTGAAAGCCAGCGTGACATTTCTGGACCCAAGAAACATCTCTACGGCTGCTGTGACACAAAGTGACCTGAACTTTGTAGATGAGGAAGGAGACGTATTCCCGCTCCGTACGTATGGCATGTTTTCTGTGGACTTCACTGACGAGCAGGGCACTGAGTCTCTTAATGCAGAAGATGTGAAGGTTCATTTGGATGCTGCTCAGGTCAAAATGCCAGAGCACCTGCAAGAGATGAAGCTTTGGTCCCTGAACCCAGAGACAGGATTATGGGAGGAAGAAGGGGACTTCAACCTTGAGAAAAGCAGACGGCGCAAAAGGGAGGAGAGAACTTTTTTAGTTGGGAACATGGAGATCAAAGAAAGGCGGCTTTTTAACCTGGACGTCCCAGAGAGCAGACGGTGCTACGTCAAAGTCCGAGCCTACAGAAGTGAGAGATTTCTGCAAAGCGAACAGATCCAAGGGGTTGTGATTTCTATTATAAACACAGAGCCAGAACCTGGGTTCTCCTCCAACCCCAGAGCATGGGGCCGTTTCGACAGCGTGGTCACTGGTCCCAACGGCGCCTGCGTGCCCGCCTTCTGTGATGAGCAAAACCCCCAAGCCTACGCAGCTTATATCTTGGCAAGTATGGGAGGCGAAGAGCTTGAAGCTGTGCCCTCTGCTCCCAAACTCAACCCTAACGCTATTGGGGTCCCACAGCCCTATCTCAACAAGCTCAACTACAGAAGAACAGACCACGAGGACTCCAACACTAAGAAAACGGCGTTCAGCATTAACATGGCCAAGCCAAGCCCTAATTCCCCAGAAGAGAACAACGGCCCTATTTACGCCTATGAAAACCTAAGAGAATGCGAGGAAGCTCCACACAGCGCTGCGCACTTCAGGTTTTACAGGATAGAGGGCGACAGGTATGACTACAATACCGTTCCCTTCAGTGAAGATGACCTCATGAGCTGGACTGATGACTACCTTGCATGGTGGCCCAAGCCCATGGAATTTAGAGCCTGCTACATTAAAGTAAAAATAAATGGACCCCAAGAGGTGAATGTAAGATCTCGTAACATGGGTGGGACGCACCCACGTACCATTGGCAAGCTCTACGGCATCAGGGATGTCCGCAGCATTCGTGACTCGGAGCAGCCGGACGTGTCGGCAGCCTGCCTGGAGTTCAAGTGCAGCGGCATGCTCTTCGACCAAGACCGCGTGGACCGCACGCTCGTGAAAGTGGTCCCGCAAGGCAGCTGCCGCCGAGAGAGCGTCAACAGCATGCTCCACGAGTACCTGGTGAACCACCTCCCCATGGCTACAAACAACGACTCCAGTGAGTACACAATGCTGGCTCCTCTCGACCCACTGGGGCACAACTATGGCATCTACACCGTCACTGACCAAGACCCGAGGATCGCCAAGGAAATCGCCCTGGGCAGGTGTTTTGATGGCACGTCTGATGGCACCTCCAGAACCATGAAGAGCAATATCGGCGTTGGATTGACTTTCACCTGTTCGGAGAGGAGCGCAGCAGAGCAAAGCATCTTCCAGTCTCAGAGGAACTCAGGCCAGCAGTCCATACTGGTTCTGCCAGGGGAGAGCCCTGCGTACCGAAGACCGCCAGCAAGCCGCCGAATCCCCCAAAGCAGGGTCCCAGTGAAAGGTCAACGTCCTTCCACATACTAAAGCTGTGTAGGAGCCTCGGTAAAGTTGCTCGCACTTGATTAAATATAATTTGAAAGTAACGTCTACCTGCTAATAACCTAATTCAAAGCTGGTAGGTGTCATTATTTTTGAGACATATTTAAGATGCACTTTTTTTTTTCCCCACCAGAAAGGAAAGACATACAGCAAAAATGGGGGCCAGTAGCGGTAGTGGGTTTGTGTCTTATTAAATGCATCCATAAAATACCTTCTTTCTGCCTGACATTAAACAGCTTCACATGATAGCCTAAAGGGAAGACTAAACACATAATTCAATTAAGTCATGTACATAAAACATTCTTCTGTTCTGCATCTGCAGACTTTGCCAGCCCTACCTGTACAGTAGTTGGTAACACAAAAAGGAATAAACCGATTTCCTCATCCTGAATTCAGCTGCAAGGTTTTGTACTTGAAATGTAAGTATTTTATTTATTTCTAGCTTGTTTTAGAATGACTGTATTCAAGCTAAACTACCTGCAGCTGCATTTCTAAGAACTCACGTTCTCGACAGCACAGAGAAACCATGTGGATTTGTAGTCTCCACATGGATAAAACTACAGTTTTCTCTTGCTCCTTGCATTATTTGACAAGAAAATCCATGCTCTGTGATAGGGTAGGTTAATAAAAAAAAATCATTTTGTAACTTCGACAATGCTGCCTTGCTTTTGTGTTTGACAAGCCCAAGTAAACCACATGTAGAGCTGACCAAAGCCTAACTTGCAAAATTTCACCTTTCTGTTCACAAACAGGTCGCAGCTTTATCAATGTGAGACTGATCCTGGGGACGGGTGTTTGGCGTTTTGGTGGGTAGCTGGTGCTCCCCCAGGTCTGGGGCTTGGCCACGGCGTGCTGCGGTCAGGGAATCTGTCCTCAGCTCAAGATGCGGAGAGTCAGCAACGATGCTGGGAGGAGCACAGCAGCAGATGTGGGCAAGGGATGAACTAGAGAGAGAGCAGCAGGGCTCCCAGCGTGGGACAAGTTGGGGGGAAAGAGAGCTGGAAACCCATCCTTTAAGGATGATAGGAAACCAGGCAATGTAGAGCAGGGCTGGGAGGTGCAGAGAGAGGGAGAAGACAGGCTTCCCTCCACGTACAGCAGCAGCAAGCAGGATGCTGCTGGGCAAGAAGCTGCTCTTAGCTGAAGGTACAGATGGCCACAGAAGGGGTCAGACAGTGATCCATCTCCAAGTGACCTATTAAGTTGCCCTATCCATCCACCCCGCTACTTCTAGAGTGGAATTGAGGAACTCACCAGCACAAAAGACATCCTTTGTTTACACCCAAACACTGGCAATAAATTTTAGGGGTGCAGGCAAGCCCAAAAACCTTCAACGCCAAAATTTCCACTGAGACACATCACAAAAAGGTGGGCACTGCTACTGGATGAAAACTGAAATTCAAACACATGCTTAAGTGTGGACTTCCCTCTCCTACCTCATCCCCTCCTATGGGTATGAAGCCAGTTCTAGTTCTGTGCCGTCCTACCTACAGCCCATCAAGGGCACGGGGAATCTTTCAATAGCATCTAGCAAGCTTCAGAACAGGTTTCCAGGTCTGACATGGGGCATCCCAAGCATTAAATGCAGAGCTATGCAGGACTGAGTGCCTGTGCAGCCCGAATTATGCTTTAAAAGGTTAAAAAAAAACCCCTTAATAATCCATGGTTTTATGCAAATTGACAATTATCAAAGAGAAGCAGAAAAGGAAGAGCTGTGGAATACTCTGGCACATCCTCTTCATACCAATGAATTTAGACTCTGTGTGCTTTCTTTTGTGTCTGGTCTGCTGCAAGGGCTTGGCGGGAGCTGGGGCCAAGGCAGCCAGTGGGGAGCATTAGCTCGGACCTTCCCACAGAGCTCTTGGCTTGCACTGCAGATTCGCAGAGAAATGTCTCTTCCCTCTGCTCCCCTCCTCCTCTGCAGACAGCCAGCCAAATCCCAAACTTAGTTTCATCACTTCGAGGGTGAAGTAACAGAAATTACTTCTGCAGACCAACCCAGGAGATACATGGATGAAAGCAGGCTCGGGATCTTGTCCCTGTGTTGCATGTGGGCTCGCCGGAGCCAAACATAGCAGAGTACAGGGCTCTTCCTTTTGGGGAGAAATGTCTGTTTAACAGGAATGAAATCATCACAGCCCTACAGCCTGAAACAGCAAGAAGCTCTCCAAGTTTCCCCAAACTGTCCCCCACTGCAGCTTAGCTCTGACTTGGAGGAACAAACTAATTTCTGCAACCACCGAGCCCCTGAGCTCTCGGAGGAGGCTGCTGGCAGAGTACATTGGATACAGAGCAAGACAGAGCGGTTTCAAACACGGGTGCCTAAGCACTACCAACAGAAAACAACCACCACTCAGTGCTAACCCTTCATCTTCACTGATGAGCCACCATGCCAAATACATTTAGAAAGTTTATATAGGAGAAAAGCTACGGCAGGTCCTGACATCCACCACTCACACAAGTTTTATGCTATAGTTCAACGTCAGTTCTGACTTCTCCAGCTTGTGTTTACGGTCAGTGTACGGCAACGTCCTTGCTGCAACCTGTAACCTACCCCACACTCCCACATATCAAAGGAGAGCATCAGCTGGAGGAATGCAGGAACGCTGTGACTCAGCTCCTCCCTCAGCCTTAGCCTTGGGACCACCAACCTTGAGAAACAGGCTGAAGCGGGAGACCTGGCTGCTAAACGTCAGCAGGTTTGGGGCTAATGGCAAAGCATCTCCCATTAAGGTCACTTAGTTTCTAACCCTCAGATAAATCTGGTGACCTATCCTTCCTCCTGTTTATAAGAAAGGGAAAATATTGCTTCCCAGAAGCTATCAGGCCGTCAGCAGTTAGGATAAACAAAAGAATAGATATTCTTGTCTGTTCTCAACCCTCAAATTATTCAGGGATTTTGCAATCAACTTTTTAAAAAGGCTTGAGTACTTCTGTGATTAGTCACTTACACTTTTTGTTTATTTGTAATTTATTCAGCAGAAAACAGGAATTAAAAGGTTTCCTAGGAAGCAGGGGGAGTAGTAAGGTTTCAGATCATGAAACAGATGCATCTAACTACAAGTCACCAGCATCCTTGGAAATATCACTCCCTCTAACATTTATTTGAAATCCAAGATGAAATCATCCCTATCCAACACCAGAGCCCTTCTGGTGCCCAAATGTTTTGCAGTTCTACCAGTAATTTGGCTTCAGGGATCTTAAACTGAGCTGTAGCGGATGCTGGGTCTATGAATACCTCTGCTACTTTCCCTCTCTCGTCCGAGAGGCGGACAGCTGTTTTATTTTGCTAGTATCACTTTCCAATTGCTAGGGTGGCTGTACTTGACCTCAGCAGTGGTACTGCAGATTGAATCACCATGTCTATGTTCCAGAGTCAACCCTGACATGCTATTCCACACCTCATCAGTGAATGCCCCATTTTTGTTTTGTCTGTCCTGCAAAAATAATCAGATTTTCATTACCTACCGAGTTAAATCCCAACAGAGCTAGGTGAAAGCAAAGTTTCCAAAGAGACGTTTTGGTTAACAGCTGCCTGGAGAACACCAATTCCCTTTAAAGCTTCTCTACCGTGTCACAAATAGCATGCCAAAGATTTCCTCCATAAAAAAATAAATTACTTACTCTTTTTTCCTCTATAAAACAACCGTGGTAAAGCTGTGCCTATTCCGTGACAGGACATGAACTATTAAGCAACAAAGAACTGTGTAATCTTTGGTAACCTCTTGCATAGAAAGCAATTCTGAGAAGCCTTAAAGCAAACTCTGCACAGATCAGAAGATTAAGTTACAAGTATAGGTATCCTGGCTACAATGTGGTTTAGACATTATTTGGCATTAAACAACTAACTGAAGACATTCTGTACCAGATTTTCACCATCTTCTGTCCAGCTGACCTTGGGTTTCCCCTAAAAGAGGTGCAGCGAGCACCATCTACAGGGTTTCTGAGCACACGCCACCTCAAACTCCCCAAAGACTCAGGGAACCTCTTCGCTGCTGCTTTATGCTTTAGTTAAGATCTGAAATTACCACCTGCCAGCAATGACTAACAGCAATAGATCTCACGCAAGGCGCAAGCTAAAACTGTCAGCGAGAGATGTACTAATTGCCCTACAGGTTCTCTCTGATGCTAACATCCAACACAGACACTGCTGGCGGAACGCTGATATTCCAACTAGCAGCATTCATACCACCCAGCAATGACATTGCTCTGCTCCGTGACATTTTAGAGACGCAAAGGATAGAAACAGTTCTTTGCTATCAACTTTATGATGCCAGAGCAGATTCCAAAAAAACAAAGGAGTTAAAGAACTTTCAAGGAATTTTCCTCAAAGGTCATTCCTAGGAACAAAGCAGTTGATTTAACAGTTTGGTCATCTAAAAACTTTTAACCCTAAATTGCCTGAACTTTTGACATTATTGTTTCTGTGGGAGTCACATCTCACCATTCACTTTGCTCAGGTCATAAGGAACAACAATTCCTTTTCCAGTCCCTGGAGACCTGGTACATCAGAAAATTTGGGTCTACCCATGCTAAGAGATAACTAAAATACTTTACTTCTCATAATTCCAAAATACTTGCTCATTTGTGCTTAAAATTATCTATAAATTGTGGTGGTTTGCTTTTGGGTGGGGTTTTTTTTGTTACTTATTTCTCTGCTAATTCAGCTTCTGCTACAATCTATGCCTGAGGCCAGACTCCTACCACACAGCTGATTCGTGTCAACAAACCTCACTGCCTATGGAGAAGATGCTTTAGAGAAAATGTTCTTATCCTCAGCAAATTGTACATTTGAATTCTAATGATGCCTATGAGTGTTCTTTAAACTGATTCCCAGAAGCTCCAGCTGGGAAAACACAAGGCAACGAGCCACCCAGCTGAGACCAGTGATGTAACAAAGCCCAGAAATCCCCCAAACTCACCCACCAGCCCCACAAAAGCCCCACCAACCCATCCACCAACCCATCCACCATCCCTTCTCTTGG